CCAGGCAATACCCCTGGCATTGAAATTTTTGAAGATTGGTTTGTTCAAGTTCCATGTCTACTTATGTGTAGGACAAGCAGCAACCTAAACATAAATACACATGCATCTATATTTTCAATAATTTACATTGCATTAGTGCAAGATGCCATCACATGCTTAATATTCAATCATTTTTTCTGAAACTTTCACAACTAAAAGGTCATTGAAAGATCTGCACATTGAGGGCAAAAAAATCATGACCCCCTCCAATATCAAACTTGATTTACTGCCCCTGCAACTTTTGGAACTTTTTGTCTTTGTACTGTTTTGGTTCAGGTTATATCTTGCAACAATTGATGCTCTTGAGAGTTGCAATCAAAGCTACAGTTTAGTGGTATAACCCTATATCTACCAGAAAAACTAAAAAAATTGTCTTTTAATTTTCACTTTTGACACTTTTCTGTCTTTTCAGTTACCTCCTCCACACCTGTTTGTGTCATTTATAGCATAACCCAAAAATACCTTTTAAATGATTTATTATTCATCATTTAATGGTTCATTATTCTCATTTTCAAAGAAAAAATGGCATTTCTTTCTGGCAGTAAAATAAGCTAGGCCAAAATTAAGTTCATAATTATGTGACATGCATACTGTATCCTGCAAGGATCAGCAATTTTGAAAGCATCATGTGAGATAGAGAAAGATTAAAAACTTTGATTTTGTTGTGGAATGAAGACTATTCATCATTCTACTCTGGGGTTTGTTTTATACTTTAGAGAATTTAAAAAAAATTAATGTTCATTCAAAATAACCTTCTACTGTGTTACTCATTTGTGAGGATTAATACACAGATTATCATATGATGGTTATTTGGTTCCAAGGTGCACTGTTTTATGAGAACATTTTCCTTTCCCATGAAAAATAGATGCTAAACTCAGAGTGCATCTTATAGCAAAGTGTTTTGGGGCAGCCTTGTCACAATGTGTGTTTATCAATTAAATTGATTCTTCTCATAGTCTGTTGACAGAATTTTCTCTCTTACTGTGAATGTGTGAATCACTAACTTAAAGTCTAATGATGAGTCTTTTAAGTGACATATTGACATTATCAATTTCTCAAGTTGTGGGTTCTTAATATAACTGGAAACTTCTTACAGCTGAATATCTTCAGTAATGCCCACCTGAGAGGGCTTTTAAGTTAACCAAATTATTACTGCCCAAAGGCTCATGTTAAAAGTGTTCCACAACCTCAAAAAAGTGTCACAGAATTATGCAGGTAAAAGCTATGAACAAGTGGTATGCATTTAACTTTTTGATCCCTAATAGTCCATTTTATAATTATGTGCTTGGTCGCAAAGCCTTTGAACAGGAGTGAGGCTAAGGGTGACTATGTTATGATACAAACCTTGCTGCTTTTTAAATGTAAATTGCTATGTTATTATGCTAACTAGATACTGGTCTCTATCATATTAAGGTCATCTTCAGCCTCGCTCTAAATCAAAGGCTTGGAAACTAAGTATGTAACTGTAAAATGGCTTATTGTGATCAACATCAAATTTCCCCCTACAATATCACCTGTGAATTAAACATTAAGGTTATGAGGATAAAAGAGATAATCACCAACTGTAGAAGCTCTTGATTGTTAAGCAAATTCTCCTTGTCAACATGTTAGGAAATATTTAGATAACTGTGAGGAGAATATACATACTGATGTTAGGGTGTAAAGGGTTAAAGGTTCTGAGGACAAAAATGATATTTTTACCATAATCAATTAGCTTTATCTAAAGTAATTGTGATGAGTGTGATACGTTTAATTAGTAATGTTTACTAATTAAATATGGCTGAAAAAAGATTCCAAAAAATTTTTTTTCTTTAAAAGTATTGTGTAAAAAATTTTCATGGGTTTCATTTGATACAATATGTTGCTCTTGCTTGGGTATGTTGTCAAGATCACAATACTGAATGTGTGCAGAGCCAACTGTAAGAAAATGTTTTCCCCAGGCAGGCTTTCCTATTGCAGATAATTTAGTGTTAACAACTGAGTTGAAAACGTAAATTGGCCATCATAAAGGATAAAAAAGCTGACATTTTGAGGATTAACCCTTTGTCAGAGTGATTGGATAGTCGGTATATATAGATAGATATCCAATCGCTCTGACGAAGGGCTGTCGCTCGAAACATCAGCTTTTTTACCCTTTACAGTGGCTAATTTACGTTTTCAACTCAGTTGTTAACACTACATGTAAATTACCTGCTTTACTCTCCCACCCACACAGTACCACAGTTTCTTTAGAAACTTACTACCTTCATTCATTAGGCCTTCCTATTGATATCAGCCAAGTGATTTGGTCTATATTCCTGTGATCATGTTTTATGTAGATTTTATCATGTTTTGATATTTCATTACATTTCATCCCCTGCTTTAGATTTCCAGATCAAATGGCCATTTTCCCAAATAGAGGAACAATTGACTCGCAAAAATGCAAACCTCATAACTTTCAATTGAAAATTCTTAAATACAAAACAAGAAATTTAACGGTAGTGTTCTTTTTTTTTTTGCACTAAACTTTCCGTGAGTTTTGATTGATTCATTCTCTTACAAGGAATTAATTAATTAAAGTAGAACTGCTAAAGAGCTTACTGCATAAGACTAGGTGAGGGTTTTGTAGATCTTGAAAATTTTTTAATTTCAGTGGTAAATCTTTCACAGACCTACTTAAGTGTAATGGAACAGGGAAATGGACAGAATTCTCCAAGCAGCACCGTATAGCTAAAAATTTAATGTTCACTTCAAAATGACCATCTAGACAATGTGACTCATGTGTGAGGATCAATAAACAGACTATTGTACAATGGTTATTTGGTTATGAGATGTACTGTTTTAATGAGAAAATTTTCCTTTCCCAGAAAAATAAATGCTCAACTCAGAGTGCAACTTATAGCAAAGTATTTTGGTGCAGCCTTGTCACAGTGTCTGTTTATCATTTAAATTGATTTTTTGCCTTACTCTAAGTCAGTTGACAGAATTTTCTCTCTTACTGTGCATGTGTGAATCACTAAGACTCTTGATGGGTCTTTTACTGACATGTTGACATTGTCAATTTCTCAAGTTTTGGGTTCTTCTTACAACTCAAAACTTCTTACAGCTGAATAACTATAATATAGCCCACCTGAGAGGACTTTAATTTACCAACTTATTACTGCCCAAAGGCTCATGATTTTAAGGTGTAAAGAATTAAAATTTGTGGTAACAAAAAATATATTTTTTATTAATAATCAATAAGTGTGGTCAGAGGTAATTGTGATGAGCTCAATACATTGCAATATAATGTTTGTGTATTAAATATGAAAAAAAAAGATTTAAAAAATTATTTTTTCTTTGAAAGTATTGCATAAGAAATTTTAATGGGTTTCATTTTATACAACATGTTGCTCTTGCTTGGGTTATGCTGTCAAGATCACAATACTGAATATGTACAGAACCAACTGTAAGAAAATGTTCACTCTCTTTGTGTGTGATCCTGTTACATGTAATGTGGTTATTTTGGTAAGGAAAATGTCATTGTGGCTTATGAGCAGTCAAAAGCAGTAGGGTACCTCTTCTGACCCAAAATAAGTTCTGTTGTTCTGTAGTTGCTTGATGACAAGTACGATTTAGGCTTCCATGCCCTTCTAGTGGCAGTAGTTTTGATGGGGCATCATAACACACTTTCTGAAAACTTCCTTCCTCTTTTAACTTACGGCCCTGCTCTAGAATTGGCTTGTAATGCTTCTATTGCTGGTGTAAACCAATGCTAAGATAAAATTAATTTCCTATATATTACAATTAAACACAATGTTGTTTAGGTCTTGGATAAAAATCTTGTTACAAATTAGGATCCATACATCAGTCATGTTAAATTATTTCCCTAAATTTAAAACTCTGACCAGGAGAATTTTATTACTTACAGTATTCTGTCTTGAAATTTTGAATTTAATTGTTTATCAATTTCATCCCTATGTTCTATTGAGCAGTGAATTTGGTGTCATTAAAAAACCTTCAGTTGAGATTTTGAGCAGTTCAGTGGTGAAATGCTATTAGGAACTTTCTTCTAAATTTTTTGTGTTTTGTTTTTTTAGCAATCTCTGATCCAGGATACTTTATTCCTTCAGCTGTCTCCTTGTCTGACCAATCAGCTAGCTTTTTGAATACCGCAGTGACATTACCAAAAGATGATCAACAAAGGTTTGCAAATGGTGTGTGGGGGAGCTCAGGTAACCACAAGGCTGTCATTTAATAGTATCTTACATGTATGAACTGAGGATACCTGGAGGAATTGACACAGGAAATACTAAGATAATCTTTTTTATGTAGTTTGTAGGTATCATAAAATGTGTCCCTTGTCTTAATTCAGTGCAGATTTGGGTTAAGTTCATGATGTTTTATTCCATAAACTATACATACACAGGTATTTTATTACTTCAGAGCACAAAAACAATCCGTGATACTCTAAAGATGATAGTGTAACAATAGGCATTGTTTAGTAGTAGCCTCGTTTTAGTATTGACACTAAAAGGACGGACGTTTGTAATAACGAGGCTGTTCATGTAACACTTGATGGCAGATATTAAAAACGATTCCTTCGCAACTAAACAGGTTTCTTCAACCCTTTAAACCCTAACAGTGACTAGCATCTAATTTCTCCCTACAATATCACCCCTGAATCACACATTAAGGTCATGAGAATAAAGGAAATGATCACCAAGAAAAGAAGCTCTTGATCGGTGAACAAATTCTCCTTGTCAGCACCTTGGGAAATGTATAAAGATCAGTATGGAGATTATGCATAATGACTGTAGGGTGTAAATGGTTAAATGGTGTTGAAGGATTCAAGCTGATTAGTAGGTTGGAGATTTCCATCAAAGGGTTTGGATCCTCTTTCCAGTACATGTCTCAGAGAAGCACTTACGCAATTATTCTAATTTTTCTTTCAGAAAAGGTGCAGGCACACCTGAAGACTCCATCTTTGTATTTTGGATCATATGGCATCAGCCATTCCTTCACCTCTTGCCAGTTCTGTAGAGAAGACAAACGGAGCCAAGCTCAGCCGACTTCTCATCGATGGCGGAACAACAGTTCTCAAGAGCATTTTCAATGGATATCATACCCCAGCAAGTCTTTCAGCTGCGTTGAATGCAAACTATTTGACTCTTCAAAATCTGTTGAGAAGAAGGATTCTACACAAACCTCAATGGAATCTACTGTTCCCTCCAAGCGGTGCTCCTCCAGACTCCCAAACATTTGATATCACTCTTTTATTCCTTCTCTTAACCAACATATGTGGTCTCTCCCCACCCCGCTCTGGGTGGCACACTAAACCACCTCCAAGTTACAACTCCCTTGAAGCAAATCTTGCTCGCATAAAGTTTTACCGCAATGAATTGTATGGCCATGTTACCACAACTGGTATTGCTGATTCAACGTTCTCAACTCTGTGGCAGGAAATCAGTATTGTTCTCGTTGCTCTTGGCTTGCAGCAGGCAGAAATTGATAGATTGAAGGCTGAGCATTGTGGAGAGCAAGAGTTCTTAGATGCGTTGCTTGAGTGGGCTGATTCTGAGGAAGATATAAAATCACAGCTGAAGGACATACGGGATATTGAGACCAAAGTGCTGCAAACTGTTGATGAAAATAAAGCAAAGCTGGAAGAAGTTCATCAGTTACAGAAGAACTTGCAAGAATCTGTGCAGAGCCAACAGCAAGACACTAGAGCCATTCAAGATAACTTTGGAAAAGTCTGTGATAAGCTTCAAAACTTGGAGGAGGTATCTCAGCTCACCATTCAAAATTTGAATAAAGAGGAGAGTATCAGGGATGACGAAGTCCCTGCGAAACTAGCAAACGTGGACAATTTAGGTGAAATAAGACACCATGCAAGCAGATATGTTGAGGGAACTCGTTTATGGATTCTTGAAGAAGTTGAGAGGTGGTTAGACGACAAAAGTTCTCCAAATAGAGTGATTGTTATTAGCGGGAATGCTGGAATGGGAAAGTCTGTAATCTCAGCTGTCTTGTGCCAAAAGATGTTAGAGGCTGGACGATTGTCAGGGAGCCACTTCTGTCGGCATAACAAGGCACGCCGAAGGAATCCCAAAGTGATGCTGCAGTCGTTAGCCTGTCAGCTTTCCGAATCGCTGCCAGAGTACAGGAGGGCTCTCGTGAAGAAGTTCTCGAGAAATCTGGGCGTTGATATTGGAGACATGGAAGTGGAAGAACTGTTTGAACTTTTGTTTGAAGAACCTCTTTCAGATTTGGAAGACCCAGGCCATATCCATCTCATGGTTATAGATGGCTTAGACGAAAGTGAATACCAGGGGCGTAATGAGCTTTTAAATGTGATTGCCGATTACTTCAAGACGCTTCCGTATTGGATACGATTTGTGGTAACAACGCGACCTGAAATGAAAATCGCAGAGAAGATTCAAGACTTAAATCCCATACAGCTGAACCCAAACGATGAAGAAAACTTGATGGACGTCAGGCTTTGCTTTCAAAAGCAACTGAAATATGTCCTGCAATCTGATTGCCAAGATACCATCTTGGAGAAGCTTGTTGAAAAGTCAGAAGGAGTCATGTTATATACCTATTACCTGACAGAGTTCATGGAGAAGAATTCTGCGCATATAAGTGCTGCTGAAGTGATCAACAGCGACTTGCCATCAGGTATTTCGTCCGTTTATCAAGACTTTTTCAAACGCCTGAAAAATGAAATGCAGAAAGAACTAGGTATCACCGAAGAGCAATTCTTTGATTTTTTAAATGCCATCGTGGCAGCAAGAGAACCATTACCAGTCGAGTTTGTGTACAAGTTGTTCCTTTCAAAAGAATGGTCATCGGCTGATGAGCAAAAAGTACGAGACGCAGTTGATTGTATCTCGGCTCTTCTACCCATTGAGGGCGAGTGCATTAACTTCTTTCACAAGTCAGTCAAGGACTGGTTGGTTGAGGAGTCTACTTCGAGGCAAAAGAAGTTTATTGTTAGCGGAAAAGAATGTCATCGTGTCATTGCAAAGCTTTGCAAAGATGAACTAGATGATTTGAAACACAAAGGGATCCAGAGTTCAACACTGACTCAGACGTCAAGGTATGCCTTGCAGTATGGAGTTCAGCATATACTTGAGGTACAAGAGAATGCTCGTTCATGTAGCTTCGACGACATTGTAAAGGATTATGTTTTGGACCTAGAATTGGTCTACGCAAAGCTATGTGTGAATAGTACAGCAGCCACTGAAGATGTTCTTTGCGTACAAGAGAAGGAAAGTACAAATGCTTCGTCAAAGTATTACAGAAAAGCCCTTGAGACGTTATTGTTGCTGTTGCGGAAGCATTTAAGTACTCTATCAGAACTTCCTCATGCCATCTTTCAAATCTTGTTGAACGAAGGAGGACCAGAACTGTCTGCGGGGGCATTAAGCCTGCTGAACACCAAGTATGCGGACTTACCATACATGGAATACTTGCGAAAGAAGGAGGAAAGACCAGATGTTCTAATGCGGTTTTTGGCTTCAGATTACGTGGTCTGCTTTGATGTCTCACCAAATCAAGACTACCTGGTCTGCGAGTGTTTGGATGGCATAACTCATCTGTGGTCACTCCGTACTGCCCAGCTAATGTGGACACGCTCTGCGCTGGTACCAATCATTGATGTTTGGAGGAACTGTGAGTGCAGCGAGTCTCTCCTTTTCTTATTTTCCCGGTCAGTAGTTTTCCATCCAGCCTTAGACCTGATCCTACAAGGGACCCTGTGTCAGGGTTATACCTTGGCCGGAGGCCTGGAACCTCTTTTTCATTCGAGTAAGTGCCGGTTCAAAGCTTGTTCAATATCTGGTGACCAAACCACGATGCTTACTGACTGTCTGAACCAGGGGAATTGCGTCATCCAGTGGAGTCTAAAAGATGGAAGCGAAATAAGTCGTTTTACACACAAATGCGACATTTTATCTTTTGCGTGGTCTCGTAATGGAACATGGATGGCGATCGCCGATTCTGACTACTGCGTATACCTGATTGACATGAATGATGGATTTGAGACTCTGATACGGGCTTCTGCCCCGTCACAATGTGTTAAGTTAACTCCTGACTGCCGGTTTTTATTCGGTTTGTTTTTGGATAGGGATGACTTCACGCTTTTTTGTTTAGATATTGACGGGAACACTAAGTTAAAGTATAGTTTGGATCCCATTTTTAGGACGCGTTCCTACCAGTACGCCTCGCAATTTGGAACTTGCAATGAGAGGGGCTTCCTATCAGGAGATCCCTTTTGGTGTTCATTTGGAAGAAATATTAGAAACCCATCATTTATGGATTTTGCACTTGTACTAAAGGAGGATATGTTATTAAGAGTTTCCCCTCGCAGTAAAGTGATCGAGATGTGTCGCCTTAACGACGTAAGGGAGTGGAGAGGTGAAAGTAGCGATGAAGCCGGACAAAGCACAGAACTCGGTTACATTACGACAAAGAGAGCCGAAAATAACGATCTAGCGGAACATAACCTACCAGAAATCAACGATATGCTGGAACAGAACGCTGAGATCGATGTTCTTTCAGGATATAGAGCTGAAGTTGTTGATCCATCAGAACAGAGAGCTGAACTTAAGGACTCACCCGAACAGATGGCTGAATTCGGTGCCCTAGAGGAACGGACAATGGAACTTAACAACTCTACGGAAAAGAAAGGTGAACTTGATGACCTTGTGGGAGAACGAACGGAATTTAATGACCTACCAGAAAAGAATGGTGATTTTTTTTTCTCATTGGAGGTGGATATTAAACTCGATGAGCTATCAGAACGATTGGAAATTGATCTATGCAGCTTATTAGAAAATGGAGCTGACCCTTATTGTAAGGGGGGTAAATTTCTAAAGAAACTGTGGTGTTGAGTTGGTGGAAGACTGACCAAGGGCTTACGCTCGAAACTTCAGCTTTTAAACTCTTTGCGGTGGCCAATTTACGTTATCAACTCGTTTGATAAGAATAAATTACCTGTTATACTCTCCCACCGACGCAGCACCACAGTTTCTTTAGAAACTTACCCCCTTTAGAATGAGGATCAGCTCCATTCTCTGATAAGCTGCATAGATCAATTTCCAATAGTCAACTCAGTTGATAATACTAAATTATCTAAAAGGACACTTCTCAAATAATTTTGCACGGAGTCTCGGGAGAACTTTGCGCCGACGAGTTTCCTCTGACAAACGTCCATGACTCATGTATGTTTTCTTTGCCCGCCAAAGTGAAGAGGGGAATAAACACAAATCACTTCCTATTTCCCAATTGGTCAACTCAGTTTATTATACTGATCCTTATTCTGTTCTCTCTATCCTAGATGATCAGGAAAAACAGGAACCTCTACTTGAGGACACAGAGGAAAACGGTTTCGTTTTAAATTGTATCTTGAGACAACAAGATACCGTTCATGAGGTTTATTTCTCTGTTAATGGCGATTTTCTTTATGCTGTGAAGGATACAAAGATCCAGCGGATGAATCTTGTGACTGGCGGTATTTTAAGTGAAAGGTTTAGGAGCGAGGAATGGAAGATTTTCAGAGAGCGTCTTCGTCTTGTGCCTGTCAAAAGAGGTGTCCTATTTGTAATAGGTAGTAGCTTGCTTGAGTTGTGGAACTCTGAGTTGTCTGTTTGCATCCAAAAGTGGACTGGCCAATTCTTCAGGTATGTTGTACCCTTATCAGAGGAACGAGTCGCCTTGAAAACGGTGTATGGCGATATGATCGCAGACGGGAAGTGACCATTCTTGATACAACGAGTGAAAAAATTGTGTTAAGGAGCATAAATTTTGATGGTGAATTTTTGGCATGTAACAGTAAATGTGAAGTGCTAGCCACTACTAATGGGAATTCACTGCAGCTGTGGCGTGAAAATAGAGTGCTATGGAAAATTGCTTTTCAGTTACAACCATCTAACATTAACGTAACTGTTAGTTTTTCTCCTACTGAAGAATACGTCATCATTTCCGATGAATTTGGCTCTTACGTCCTCGACGCAGTTGCGGGAAAAGTGATTTTTCAATCGAAGAACATGGATGTACGTGATATTAAGTTTATCAGTAACGAGGACTACATTGTAGGCTTGAATAATTTAAGAGGTTTTTGTCTTCGATTATACAACGTTATATCTGGTGATCTCCTTAGTGAAATTGTAGAGGGAAGAGAAGTTCTAAGTTTTGCAGTTTGTCCTTGTAAACGCTTGGTCGCAATTGTCCATGAAAACTCCGAGGACCATTTTGAAATCATTCAAGTGAAGCTGCCAGGCGATAAAGAAAAGACAAACATCAAAAGGTCAGTTGAAACAAAGTTTATTTGAAGACAGAAGAAGAATAACGTGGATAATAATATAATGTTAATAGTATTAATAGTAGAAAAAATAACAATGATACTTAATAATAATGTGATGATAATAACAATACTGATGATGGACATTTAATAATAATGATAACAATAGTAATACGGACAGTTATGATGATAATTATAAATATAATGATTCCAATGATAAATAATGGTAATAGGACAGAGTAGAGTCCAATTCGGTCTGTACTCATACGAGAGATAAGCAAAATCCGACGATCGCGAAGCAGGAGCCCGATTTGACAATCACTAGTATGATAACATACTTAATTGGACGACACGAAGTCCTGTCACCAATTAATCATAGGTGTTAAAATTTCCAAAAAACAACAAACACATAAAGGACAAATATCTCCGGTAGAGACAAATTCTAAAGTAAAAAAATTCCTCAAGTTTGGAAATTCCATAATTTTTTTTGGTAGAAGTGGTTGTTGCTGTGGTTGTTGTTATCAATTCTATGATTGGTGGATTTGGCGGAAAGGAATAAGTAGAAAAATAAAGTAGCTTATGCACCAATCACATTTGAGGAAATTGTAACGGTTATGATTATGATAATAAGAGTAACAAATAATTATTTGGATAATACTTATAACAGTAGTGATAATGGTCAAAATGATAATGATGATGACAAAATAAATTCCTCTAGAAACGCCAGTTCCGCAAATCTGAAATGACCATCATTAGATTCATGATTTAACTCGTCTTGGTCATAATCCAATCCAAAAAAAGGCAAATTTTTTTAAATTCCCTATTACTTAATATAAGATGTTGCCTTTGACTTGACCTCTGTTGTTTAATTTTTTACCTCAGGTTGAACCTACCAAAATAAGACATCTACAGAGATTTACAGTTTTGTCGCTGAATGGGAAAGGCATTGTCAGAGAGACTGTATTCCGCTGATTCCTTTGCATTCGAGTGGTTACGATCTTCTAGTCCCGACATCTGAACAGGAGAGACCGCTGATCGAGATTGGAGCGAGCACAAGAATGATTTTAGTGACAAAGCTGTTCAAGGATTTAAATGATATTTTTCTTAAAAGGGCTAAAGATAAGTTGGAAAACTGTTCACGTCTCCAAAAGATTTTTGGAGACGTCAACAGTTTACAGGAGGGGTAAGGCTTCAGAAAAATTTACTACCAGGCCGCACTATTTATGAGTTTTAACCAAAAGGGGAACTCTTATCTAAGGGCATAGCCCTAAGCTCCAGTAGGTGGCTGTTGGTGGTCATTTGGTAAGGTGCCCATGTTAGTCAGGGCATCGTTGCATAGTCAACCTCACCAGGGTGGTGAGAGGCTGAAACGTGCTGACCCTTATCTACTCCTCCCAAACGGGTACGCTGGGCCCTAACAGCCTGACCTTCTGAAGGGTCGGGGGGAGGGGTAAGGCTTCAGAAAAAGTTTCTACTGGGCTGCTCTGTTTATGAGTTTTAACCAGAAAAGGAATTTTTGACACACCTTTCGAAGCACGAAATCTTCCTCTCTAATTTCCATAAAGTTATGACGGAGATAAAAATTTGAAAAGCAAATGAACATGTGCAAAGCATATTTAGTGAAATAAACTGGTCAAACCACTTTTATCTCAGGAAACCCCATAAATTAAGAGTAGAAAATACCTCACCCATTCCTAATTTGAATCACCTCGTGAAATTCTGCTCCTTCATGGAAGAGAAGACACAGGACACAATAGAACATCGCATTATCAACCTACTGCTTATAGTAGTTTCCTTGTCCTTTTTTTTTTCCTATATTTTTCTACGTCATCAGTGTCTTCTACACCAAGTAGGAGCCTGGAATTTAAGGGCGTCACCACACAGTTCATAACTTGGGGCGCTGACAGGAGGACACCCTAACATCAGAATATATATTCTCCATGAAGTTCACAAATTATTTCCTAAGGTGCCACGGGGAAGTTGTTTAACAATCGAGAGCTTCTTTAGTGAGTGATCATTTCCTTTCTTTCATTTCTTGATTCAGGGGCGATATTTTAAGGAGAAATTAGATGCCAAGCGGTCCTATGGTTTAAAGATAATTAAACCTATAGTTAAAGCTGCTTGCCCAAAACATGTCACTTTGGTTTTGAACGTTTATAAATGCACTATACAGGTTCGCATATCCCCTGTCAAGCACCAACATATTTGGAGATCCAAACGACCTAGTTCAAAGCTGCATAGTAGCTTCGCTCGTCCTGGGATATGTTCCACGGTTTCGTGAATAAGTACCGATTAACACTCAATGGCGGTGGCAGATTCGTTCTCAGTCGCATCAAAGAAGTCGTTGAGGAGAGCGCGGATGAACAAGGCGCGATGAATCTTGATTTTCCTTTTGATTGGTGAAGGTGACTTAACCCTTTACATGCTACTATCAGTATGCATATTCTCCATACTGTTCTCTATACATTTCCTGTGGTGCTGATAAGGAGAATTGGTTTAACAATCAAGAGCTTCTTTAGTTGGTGATCATTTCCGTTATTCCCGTGACCATAATATTTGATTCAGGGGTGATATTGTAAGGAGAAATTAGATGCTGGTCACTCTTGGGAGCCAAAGGGTTGAGTTATATCTATCAAATCGCAGACTTTACAGAAGTAAACTGAAAGCAAGTTCGAAGTGCATTCGGCCATTGCTGCAGAGCACTACGCCAGCGTCCTTAACTGATGTAAAAGTATAGATCATGTGACCCTTCGAAAAGACTCGGAAAAGTGGCATAGACTTTGATAACAGATCACAGCTTCAATTCAAATCAAGTGACGGGTTCCTTAAAAAATTAGTTTTATATTCACGTGATTGTTGGTACTAATTTAAAGCTAATTCAGTTTTGGATTATACTACGGTTTTCTATCGTTCAAAGCTGACTTTGTGCACTGTAGCTGAGTAATCACCTCGTATGTTTTCTGCTCTTAGCGATGAAGACATCGTTGAATACTTTGTGTCTCAATGTGTTCCTCTGCAATGATTAATCAAAGCGTATTCGACGATTCTTGAATGGAGGTTAGTTCGAAAATAGCCAGGGATTAGACCTTCTTTTCTTAGGTCGAAAAGTGTTGTAGCACCAGGTTTCTGGCATTTATCTGCGGGAGATTGTCGGTAAACTCTTCTGGGCTTAGCAGTTCATTTCAGGTGGAGCTTACCTCAAATTCTTTAGAACGAGAATACAAGCATCCTGGATGAATGCCAGTCCATTGGACATAACTCTCAGCATTTCGTGAGAATTCCATGATGGTTCATCCCTTGAGAGGGCCACTGAGAGAGTAAAGTTTCTTCCTTGAAAACACAACACAACGACCCTGCCTGGCCTTGAACCTGGGCTTCTAAATCCAGAGCCCAGCGTAGTAATCGCGACGCCATTTTATTTTGTCAAGAGAATTGGACCTGATTCTCTTTTGGCTTCATAGATGGTGGTTTACCATTATAAACAGAGAGAAAAATATGCCAGGAACCTTAGCCATTTCACCTCAACAAATGAAATGTGAGCATCCGTCCCATAATTCACTGCGCGTCTCCCACGTGTTCCCACACCTTTCAAGTGAGCTCGCGTAGTAGCGGTAATTTACGCTAATTGAAACTACTATTCATCGGAAAACGCGACTTTTTTAACTCTTTTCTTTTATCCCTCTAAGTGTTTGAAACAGAGCCGTGTGAATGCAGAGCTGGACGGCTTTTTCCGGACCGGCTCACGTCAACCCGTCCGGCCCTACACACGTCAGCTCTCATCGTGGTTTTCTGTGGGATTGCGCGAGCGGGGCCGCACGGGTCATATGATAATATAAATGATTACTTGTGCGATTTATTGATTTATTGCTGAATAAAGGGGTAAGTTACTAAGGAAACTGTGGTGCTGCGCTGGGGGTGGGGGGGGGACGGGCCGGGGTATAGCAAGATAATCTGGTTTTATCGACTGAGTTGATGATGTAAACTGACCACCGCAGAGTTTCTAAAAGCTGACTTTACGAGCGCTAGTCCTTCGTCAGAACGATCAACGGAGGGCTAACGCTCCGAACATCAGCATAGAAACTATTTATAGTGACCGATTTAAATTATCGACTTGGTTGATAAAACTTAATTGATTTATTAATGGTTTGATTAATTAATTGGTTGATCGACCGACCGTCAACTCAGGTGCCAACGCAAAACGGAAAAGGGAATAACGACCGTGTTTTATGGACGCAGTGGATCACAGCTTACAAGTGAGTGGGAATCATTGATCGCGTGTAAGAAACCACAAGGGTAATCGTAAATGAAGCACAAAATTAATGGACACATGACATTCACTTAGCTGCTCTTAAGGAAGTAATACGAAATGAAGTTTAAATGTACCGAAGTTCGCTGCAATACCTTCCTCCCTATTGAATATTGTATAATCACAGACAACAAACTTCCATATTGTACAGGGGGAGAAGGGGTTAATTTGTATTTTGTGTATAATTGGTATGCTATTACATTAGAGTTGACAAGTGAATTCTTGTCTTCATTTATTATTCCTTCCTCCTTTTGTTTTTATTTTCTTTCATTTACCAAGAGATCGTCTTGATCAGGAATGCGACCATCATGATGTTCAAGAGGTTAACACGACACTTCCATTCATTTGAAAATAACTCTTTGAAGGACTCATCTTTCCTTTTAATTTTTTACTGATTTACTGACTTTTTTTCTCTTGCACACAGGTAAACAAAGAACGAGTCAGGGTAATTAAATCCAGCAACCCAAGGTACTTGTCTGTGTTCTTTTTGAAGAATGAAATGTTGACCTTAAGCCCCGAATCCATTATCTCTCCTATGAGAATCAATACGCGACTAGAGATCAAAATTGACAAATACACTGACGAAAATGACTTCACTGTAACCAACACCTTGTTTTTTTGGAATTATCGAGGCATCAAGTGAAGTGTGCTTGTGAGATTGTCTCGCACTGCCGTCGGAGCTCATTCCTGTTTCTTTGGCGAGAAATCCCCTCGGGAGTATTGCCAATCAGGGTTACTCACCCTCCCCACACACCCTTCCCCTCCCCTCCTCTACTTTTCGTTACGTTTCCCGGGTAACGTACCTTCCAGAGATAGTTACCACGAGAACTATATGTCCAGCTTATGACCAAAACACATTGACACGGCCAGCACTTGAGCCCTGACTCACTGAATTACATCGCCCTGAGCATAAAGCTACCGGTTCTTTACATCGTTTGGAATTTAATCGCTGAAGCAAAACGAATTCTGACATTGACGAGTTTTATTTCTGTTCATATCTCCAAGTTTTTTTTTATATATCGTTGTGCAAATATTTTCTTCGCAGGTTTGTTCTTAGAAATTACATCGCCCAAAGAGCTATAGAGGCCGCAGAAAATGGAGACTTTTCTTTGGTAAGAGCAGTGAAACCAGTAGAACCCGTCAAACATTTTTAATCTTGAAAACCGTTGCATACTTATTTGCAGGTTTATTTCGGTAAAATTTCCCCACAGCCCCATGCTACATTATGTATTCAGTTCTTGGATAGAGAAAACAATGACAAAACAATACATTGCTATTGGAAAAACAGATTTGTTTTACAATAGTGTAGGGCTGTGCAAAAATTTTACCTTTATTTTCATCCAGCACGATCGAAAGAGATTATGACCAATAAGGAAATAGGAAGTCATTTGGTTTTCAGGATTCCCTTCTTTACTTTGGCGGGCAAAGAGAATACACATGAGTCAAAGACGCTTGTTAGAAGAAACTCGTCGGCGCAAAATTTTCCCGAGATTCTGTGCAAAATTATTTGAGAAGTGTCCTTGTTGGATAATTTGGTATTATTTACTGAGTTGATAACGTAAATTGGCCACCGCAAAGAGTTTCCAAAGACGACGTTTCGAGCGTTAGCACTTTGTCAAAGCTAATGGGTCATATACACTGACAAAAATTTTTTCCTGACATTTTCCTTTGTCGTATTTAAACACGGAGACTCGTTTGTCATCTTTTGGAAAGGGATTCTTTTAGTACTATTTTTCCATCTACGATGCAAGGGAAACTTTCCGAAGGGTATACTTGCAAGCACTGACTTGTATGTGATTTAAGATGCACTGATAACATTTTACATTTCCTTCTCCTGTTCTTTTGCAGGTTCAAACTATTCTGAAACGCTTGAAAACACCTTACAGAGACGGTGTGGAATTTGACGAAGCTACGTTCTACGTAGCAGCGAGTACTAATTCCACCTTGTCTTGTAATAATGAGAAAACGAGGCTGTTCAACGCTCAGGATACAAGGAAAACTAACCTTGATATATTGCCTGATGATGCGTTTAATATGCGGCTATCGTGATCTTCGTAAATCTACCGCGTAATCCTCGTGGGTCCTCGTAGCGGAGTGAGTCTATCGTCCCTCCTCGCTCAGAGCGAAGAAGTAGGGTTAACGACATGCAGGATTGAAAGGGATTTTCACCGATTGCAGTTGGCAAAAAAAGTAAAATACTAAAACGATAGTGTAGCTTGTTTTCAGCCTCTACCTCTTTGCCACTCGTTCGTTTAAACAGCGAATCAAAATTGACGTCACCACACGCGGCTCTCAACTAGTGATCAGGCTTTCACAAAGACCTCTTGCAGGATTATACTGCTTAATCAAAACAATTCCAACAATCTTTTGTTTGGATCAACAAATATGGTCCCCCACAATGTTTTTCTGTTCACTTTGATTCTAGATAGATAAACGACTAGACAGGATTTACTTTCAATTTTATGACGTTCAACCGTCCCGGAAATTGGTTTCGTGAAAGTCGAGTGTCAAAGAATTTTGTTGTGTACGCTGCAATTTCATTTTGCTGTGCATCTGTTTCATAATAGGTCACAGACTAGGTCAAAATGAAGTCAAGTATTCTTTTCTCTAAACTGAAAGATCGTTAAAAATCCAATTAGCACGCTATTAAATTTGGCTTATCTGATACCGATAATTGATCGATAAAGGACTTTCCAGTTGTTTACATAGAGGATTTAGAAGAATTCAAGCAAGTCATGCAAACCTGAGACACAGTCGGGAGCTTGCTAAACTTTTAGGAATTCTCCCAATCGTTCGAATGCATAGAACAGCCTATGTAAACGCAGATAAGTTAGTACCAGGAGCCATTATGTTCCTGTAAGCACTTAATTGCTTTCTTCAAATATGTCTCGGTTAGTTCAGAAAGCCTGACGTCACACGTGTAACACGTTTAACAGCGTGACCATTGCAGGTGGACTTCATCCCTTGTTTATTTACCGACAGTGATAGTCAGTCCCAAAAACCCAGAGTTCATTGAGAGATAAGAGAAGCAGATTAGATTTTGGGGCGCTGGTTTCCTCGATATCTGGCTGCATCGCTGGAAGGCTGTCGATCTGTTTTCCCAAAAGGTTAGATTGGAAATAATTTTTTCGCTTATTTCATCATTTGTGGGAATATAAGCTCGTTATCATTCATTTTTTTCCTCTTCAATAGCCTGTTATTTAAACGCTTTAGGCGTGAAAGCAATACATCTGTAATCACTTCCGCTTACGATTTCCTTCGTCGCTAAGTAAAAATTCATGAGAGGAAATTTCGTTTTGACTTAACCATTAACCAACTGTGCAGATCATTCGGTATATAGAGCCGTTTGATGTCATCTGTGGTAGGTGCAGAGAGGAAAGGAAAGCGACTGGCTCGACTTGAGGACATCATTTCTAAGGTATCGATCATCGCGTCGCAAAGTTGTGTCAAATTTTTACCAGAGTTAAAATTGATCTATTTAATAACAAAAATTTTGAGAAATGTTTATGATTAGGAGGATTTCGTTTTATTTCGACCTTCACCGGCTTAAGAAAGGAAAGTAAAAGAAAGGGACTTTCAGCGAAGTATTTTTGCGTCGTATGGAAAATACATCTCGGAAGGAATCGCATGACTCATGAAAGGAATCTGTTATGAAATCAGTGAGTGATTAAGACCAAGAATAAATGTTGTCATGACAGCATATTATTTTGTAATTCCAAGAGTCAATATCTCCATATTCGCTTTTCAGATCCCGCGCTACTTCTAGTCTTCTGGTACTCCCCACTCGTCGACTCGAGTGAAGTTGCATTTTGCCTCCCTAAGCACATTTCCTACAACGAGGCGTGTTCTAGGTTTGCCATAGTTTCTCTTGGTAATACTGGACCTTTTCTCACCAGCAAGGTTAGTAAGGATATAATTATGACTGATCTCTCTATTTTCAGAAATACAAAAAACCAGATGTTTATTAGTTTGGCTGGTTTTTACCTGAATCGGGCACGTTTCCGCGTTCGATTTCCACACACGTGGTTCGTGGTTCGAATCATGGAATTACAGTCAATTTTTCGATAAAGTTTTTGTGATTAATTGTGAAAAACATAAGTGTTTTGTCATTATGGCTTATAGGCTTTGCACTGAGGGTAATGTCAGAGAAATCAGGATCATAGTTTGGCTACACAACATTTTGAATCACCTACTTCCATTTTAAATCATCAACTGAAAGTAAGCATCGTTTTTGATGATACAAATGAGTACGATTGTAAATAATACACCAAATTAATTGGTATCGTGTCGTTTAAAATGTGGATGTGAGCTATCCAAATCTTTTATAGCACCTACAGAAGTAATTTTCCGCAGGCATGCTTTCCAATTGATATCATGCAGCTAAGTGATTTGGTTTACACTCCTGTTATCGTGTTTTAAGTAGATTTCATCATGTTTTGATCTTTCATTACATATCACCTGCTTTAGATTTCCAGATGAAATGGCCGTTTTCCCTTATAGAGGATAATGAGTCGATAACATGCAAACCAATTTCAATTGGACATTCTTAAATAAAAAATTAGAAGTATAGTTTTTTTTGCTCTAAACTTTCCACGAGTTATGATCGATTTACTTTGTTGCAAGGAATTAATTAATCAAAGAAGAACTGCGAAACGGTCAAGTGCATAAAACTCAATATCCCTGTCATTAGGTTAGGGTTTGGTAGATCTTGAAAAGTTTGATAATTTCAGTAGTGAATATTTCACAGACTAATTACTTAATAAGTATCAGGGAACAGTGAATTGGACAGATTTCTCTGGAGAGTAATGTTTTAAGTTTAGCTTTCTTTAATGCAGTAATCAATTCAGAGCTTCAACATTCCCCTCCCAGGCAATACCCCTGGCATTTAAACTTTTTAAAATTGGTTTGTTCAAGTTCAGTGTCTACTTATGTGTATGACTGGCAGTAACATATGATTCTATGATGTAGACAGTCATTAAAAACTTAAATCCTGGAAGCATTTTCATGCCACAGATATCTGGTTCAATAAGAGTTTAGCTTCACAACTGTGTGCTAAAATTTGACCCAAAATACCTAAGGTGTAACTAGTTGCCCATGTATGTCATGCCCTGCATTTTATTGAAGCCAGTGTCCAAATACTTTGAATTAGACCCCAGGTCTTTGCATTTTATGCTTCAATGCTCCACCTTCTGGCTTGAGGAAACATTTTAATCCTTTTATGCTACTGAGTGCCATATGGCACAAGATGCCATCACATGCCTAATATTGAATCATATTTTCTGAAATTTTCACAACCAAAAGGTCATTGAAAGATCTGCACATTCAAAGCATTAAATTCTGGCCCTCGATCTTCAACATCAGACTTGATTTACCACCCTTGCAACTTTTGGAACTTTTTGTCTTTGTACTGTTTTGGTTGAGGTGATAATCTTATAACAACCAATGCTCTGAGAGCTGCAATTTAACATGCCTTTTAATTGATTCATTACACATGGTCTAATTAGGTTGACTTCATTATTCTCATTTTAATAAATTTGCCATTCCCTCGTGGAAGTAAAACAAGCCAGGCTAAAATTAAGTTCATATGTGACATGCAATTACTGCATACTGCAAAGGTCAGCAATTTGGAAAGCATCATGGGAGAATTAAAGAAAGGTGATAAATTTTGATTTTGTGGTGGAATGAATATTGTTCATTGTTCTGCTCTGGGATGTGTTTTATACTCTGAGTGTTTTAAAAATACTTAATGTTAACTTCAAAATAACCCTCTAAATTGTTACTCATTTGTGGAGATCAATTATACAGATAATTGTATGATGTTTATTTGATTATGTAGTGCACTTTTTTTATGAAAAAAAATTTCCTTTCCCATGGAAAATAGATCCAAAACTTAGAGTGCATCTTATATCAAAGTTTTGTAGTGCATCCTTGTCACAATGTGCGTTTATCATTTAAACTGATATTTGGCTTTACTTTAAGTCAATTGACAGAATTTTCTTCCTTGCTGTGCATGTGTGAATCAGTAAGGCTTGTGATGGGTCTTTTAACTGATGTGTTGACATTGTCAATTTCTCAAGTTTTGGGTTATTCTTACAACTGGAAACTTCTTACTGCTGAATAACTACAATAATGCCTTCATGAAAGGGCTTTGATTAACCAACTTATTACTGCCCAAAAAAAGTGTCACAGAACTTAACGCAGGTAAAAAACTAAGAACAAGTGGTACACATTTAACTTTTTAATCCCCAATTGTGACCAGCATCAAATTTCTCACTAGAATATTACCTGTGAATCAAATATTAGGGTTATGAGGATAAAAGAGATAAATCACCAACTGTAGAAGTTCTTGATTGTTAAGCAAATTCTCCTCATCAGCACCTTAGGAAATGTTTTGATAACTGTAAGGAGAATATACATAATGATGTTCGGGTGTAAAGGGTTAAAAGTTCTGAAACGAAAAATATATTTTTGCTATAATCAATTAGCCTGGTCTAAAGTAATTGTGATGAGCACAATACATTGCAATATAATGTTTACTCATGAAATATGCTAAAAAAGATTTTATAAAAATTTTTACTTTGTAAGTATTGCTTAGGAAATTTTCATGGGTGTTATTTAATACTGACAATATGTTGCTCTTACTTGGGTTATGCTGTCAAGATCACAATACTGAATGTGTACAGAACCAACTATAAGAAAATGTTTTTTCCCCAGCCAGGCTTTCCCATTGATATCAGCCAAGTGATTTGGTTTATATTCCTGTGATCATGTTTTATGGAAATTGTATCATGTTTTGTTATTTCATGAAACATTCTCAGCTTTAGATTTTCAGATGAAATGGCCATTTTCCCTAATAGAGGAATATGACTAGAAAAAATGCAAACCTCATAACTTTCTCTGGGAAATTTTTAAATACAAAATTAGAAGTTTACTGTAGTCTTTTTTTTTTTTTTTTTTTTTTTTTGCACTTAACTTTCTGTGAGTTTTGATTGATTTCTTCTGTTACAAGGAATAAATTAATTAAATATCCCTGTCCTTAGTTGAGGGTT